TTATATATATATATATATATATATATATATATATATATATATATGCACATATATACATATATATGTACATTGTATACATGTGATATAGACATATTGCTCTACATGCATATGTTGGCACCAATATTTTCGTGTTTATACATATGTACCTACATAGGCGTAAGGCTGTGCTTATGTATTTGTGCTTATCTTATATATATACGTATATATATGCATATATATATGCATATATATATATATATATGCACGCGTTTGTATTCACCGCGGCGCACCTATTTGTATGTATTTTCCTCTTGCTGGGGGTTTTGTCTTTCTGCGTATTATTTGTGCGTAATGGTGTTGCATTCATTAATTTTAGAAATATGAAGTTTTAAATTGTTTTTTACTTGTTCTTGCTTTAAAAATGTATTTGTTTAGGGTCTCACTACGGCTCTGCATGTTCGGTGGAGGGGCAAAGGCGCGAGTCAACCCGTTGTTCGCGGCCTCTGGGCCTTCAGTTTGCTTCGGCTCCGGCAAAAGAAGACAGAAGTTTAAGTTTAATTGTTTGTGATGGATGGAGAGGCCTGCTGCAGGTGTCAGTCCCCTCAGCTCGTCAGCGCGAGCTGGGCGTACACCCCACGCCTGCCGCAGCAGCACAAGAGCTATTGAAAGGAGCTGGCTCCGCAAAACTGCATATTCCAAATGCAGTAACAGAACAAGTCAACGGAAAATTCTACGTTACTGACTCATCCAGCCGCAGCGACGCTGGCAGGGTGAGCATACAAACTAAGGCCGCAGGTCTTCAGCTGTAAAGACACCGCAGAAAGGGTGCTTACGCACCAAATACCCCCAACATCGTATAGAGGAGGAGACGGTTGGGTGGGGGGGAAGGGTAGAAGGCCGTACATGCTATCTGCTTGCCTCAGGGTTTAGAGGTTAGGGTTTTGGGGTTAGGGTTTATGTTCAGTGCTGTACGGTAGAGTGCCTGTTCGGGTGTCTGCGCAGTTCGGCCTCATTGGGTTCGAAGGTGCCAACTGGGGCACAGGCCGTCTGCTTTCTGTTGACCTCAAGTACGCATGCACTGCTGCTGCTGCTGCTGCAGCTGGGGTGCTTCTGAGCAGCGTTTGCTGGTGCTTTTGCTGCTGCTTTTGCAGCTCTCCCACAGCTTGTGTGCGCCTGCGGTGTATTTGCTTTTTGCATTTGTTTGAGCAGAACAGACACTGCAGAAGTTGTAGGAGAAGGCATTCCCTTTGCTAACGGGGCGGTGGTTACTTACGACAAATCCGGCGTCTTTGTTGCAGCTTTAAACGCTCGGCAGATCCGCTATTACCCCTTTTCCTCTTCATCTGAGGCCAGTGCGTCTTTTCTGCGAGCTTGTGCTGCTCTCGCGGCTGTCTCCGGTTGTTGCAGTTGCGATTGAGGTGTACAGACACGTGAAAATAAGCAGACAACCGGCACTGCGAGGAGTGGGCCCCTGCCTTTTTTATGTGTTTGGGTTCATCTGCGTGCATGAACCCAATGCCCTTGAGATGCTGTTGAGAAGGGTTGTTGCTGCTCTTTTTGCTGCTGCTGCTGCTGCTGAGATTCGTTGTGGAGTTGGTCGTGTGGGGTGTACGTACAGCAGGAGAGGCGGAGGGGTGGCGGCCAGTGCTGACGCTGCCGATTCCGCCTGATAATATAACACGAGTTGAAGTAGATGGTAAACAGCTGTACGCCGCGGTGTCTTTTGGGGCCCCCTTCCTCCCTCCCTTTGTTTGGAGCAGCGACGGAGACGGTTTGCTGCAGCACCTGCGTTCAGCTGTATGGACAGCCTGCAGCCGCGCGCTGCGCCCCTATAGACCCTTTCCTCTCTTCGGTGGCATTCTCTTCCCTGTAAGACGCACAATGCTAATAACTAAACATAAACCGAAAGAGGAAGCTGTCGGTACACCCCAGGGCTTGAACTCCCTGCATCTACTTTCTTCTCGTTTTATCTTCTATTTTATCTTCTTTTCCTTTCTCTTTTTTCGTGGGGAGGTTGGGGGGTTTCTCTGTGTATTGCATGCAGCAGCAGCAGCTGAATATGCATCCATGGATGACTTTTTGTTAATATCAGTGGTTAGGGGTGAAGGGGAGGAGCGAAAGATATCATTCCGCTGGTGCCGCAGGACCTGCATAGACACCTGAAGGGGCCGCGTGAGACGATTGTTTGCAGTTGTTTTGTTGCTGGGGTGTATGCGCAGCTGATGCAATTGCTGCCGAGTTCCTTCTTTGATTTTCTGATTAAAGTCGGAGCAAAAAGAACAAACAGAGGGGGCCAAGTGGTTTTCTTCGACGGGGCTGGAAAAATACACAAGTGGTTGTCTCGTGAGTCTCACTTGCGGTACAAACAACACCCTGCTGCATGCATGCATTCATGCATGCAGCAACGCATACAGCTACATGTGCAATGCATACAGCTGCATGCATGCATGCGCAGCCCCTCAGCGGATAGAATATAACACTTGAGAAGAAGCGGATTCAATAGTGAACAAATATTCATCAAGGTGTATATGGTGCCCCTCTTTCCCCCCACAATTGCCGAAACAGAGGCAAACGGCCCCTTAGAAGACTTGTGCAGCAGCTGTTTTGCTGCTTCGGCGGTAGCTGCTGCTGCTGTTGCTGCTGCTACCTGTGCTGCTGTCTCTTATGCTGCTTCTGCTGCTGCTGCTGCTGCTGTTGTTGCTGCTGCAGTCCCCGCGAAATGCCGTTTCTCGTCAGAGGTAATACTGCACAAGTGGCCGAATTCTAAGGAGGCGGTGATGTTAGTCGGCGCCTTCAGGCCCGAGCAGCCGCTTTGCCAGGTCCGCATAGGGAAGTACTTAAAGGCGAGATGAGTGTAGGATTGACGATAATAACTTAGAGAAGGGAAGGCTAGGAGCAGCAGCAGCAGTAACTGCAGCAACAGCAGCACCGGTATCAGCAGCTGGCCTACGTACACCTCAGCAGCGACGCCTTGTGGAGGGAGGCAAGAGAAAAAGGAGGGGACGGCAATCAGCAGCAGAGAGCTCCGGTGTATGTACACCTCGAGGTGTTTCGTCTTCTTCTACGCTGTGCATACAGCCCGATAACTGGTTTTGTGTTGTGCCTTGCAAACAATGAGGCAAGAAGTGAAGGTTTGGTGTGCTGTACGTACACCCCGCCGTGCCAGTATGGACAGCGTGCTGCTGCTACTCACGGAGTGAATGCAGCAGCTGCAGCAACTGCAGCAGCAGCATCAACAGCAGCAGCAGCAGCAGCAGCAACTGCAGCAGCTGCAGCAGCAGCTGCAGCAACTGCAGCAGCTGCAGCAACAGCTGCAGATGCAGCAGCTGCAGCAGCTGCAGCAACAGCTGCAGATGCAGCAGCTGCAGCAGCTGCAGCAGCAGCAGACGCGCCAGGGATAATCTTTGGTTTGCTGCTAGGGGGGTGTTTAGTGGGGGCTTTGCTTTGTTTGTTCTGTTCAACTTGCTGAATTTGCCAGCAGTTGAAGTAAGAAGGCGAAAATGAGAATTTTGTCTATTCTCTATTAATTCATTCAATTGTTAATTTACTCATTTATTTATTTATTGAATACCTTTGTTGCGGGCAGAGAAGGAAGAGGCTTTATAGGGTTTTTATGTAGAGGGATGAGGGGCGAGTAGAATTGAAGTATTTGTTATTTAATGCTGCATTGTTTACTGCTGCATCTGTCGAGGTGTTTCGTGTGTCTCCCCAGCTGGTGCTGTCTGTTTGTACTATGCTCCCAGCGAAAGCGTTACTAATAAACAAAAACAAAATAGATTGGAATTGAACAAACACAGCAATCTGGTGTACAGACCAGCCAAAGCGCCAGTCGCATGCAACCTAAAATTAAGCTGAAAACTGTCAGATGATGAGATCGGAAGAGGAACAAGACGAGCGATGATGAAAACAAGGGAGTATTAGCAGTTTTATCTGTGCATTGTGTGCAGCAGATGCAGGAGACACTTTAGCATGTATGTATGTGTCATGAGTTGGGGTGTGTATGTGTCATGAGTTGGGGTGTATTAGGAATAAATAAACAGCGGGTTGCGCGTTTGATAGGAAGCAAGAAACCCTCTTTTTTTGTGCCGTGTTCAACACTGCTCGTGATTCATCGATGAAGATCCGCTCTTTGCACGTTCAGATCGTGCAGAGGCTTCCTTTGCCTATTGGGTCTATCAGCTCGAAATGTAACGGCATGAACGCAATAAAAATGGAGTAATTAATAGCTATTCAGGTTGTAAAGAGGGAAAAACGCGGCATTTTCTTCTCTCTAATCACTAGGGAGGAACGACCTCTGGGGGAAGCGGAGGGCAGGCTAGATTGCCAGCCACCACTGCATATGGGAGAGAATTATTCATTTAATTCACTTACCAACAAATAAATAATTATAATTAATCAAATTAAAATCAGTTACCATTTATGCAATATTCCAGTAGACTGATCAAGCTGCGCATGGACGAATGATGTAGTGATGCCGATGGTCTGTTTCATGCGAGTATTTTCTTGCTGCAGGGAAGTAATTGAATTTTGTTTAATTTAAAACATATAATAAATGCATTAAAATGTATATTCTTAGTTTAAAAACGCTGCATTTACTTGTGTTTTTCGCTAGTTAGCCGCTGCAGCTCACCAGGCCTCGCTCACCCTCCGCTTGCGGTGTATGTGCAGCTAAGGGTTGGTGAAAGTCGGTTGTGCATAAACAGCGTTCAAATAACATTAATTAGATATTTCTTTGGGGTTTTCTCGGTATTTTCTGTCGTCTTGTTGTACAGCTTTCCGAATTCTTCCTTGATTCCGTCGGTTCGGTGCTTGATCTTCGTTTGTCTACTACACGAATACATTTGTTTAACGGTGAGCTTGTTTGTCTGTGCTTTGCATACACCAGAATACCGTCTAAAAATTCGCAATTTCCAGTTTTTTAAAACCTTAAACAACTGGTTAAGAAGGCGAGACTTTACCCTCTCCTTCATACACCTGCGCCTCCATGGCTGCAAGACGGCCGAAGTCTCAGGATCTAATCAACTAGCTACACAGCATGCGTCTCAGCATCAAAGAGAACATGCTAGCGAAGGCGAAATTATTCCTGCTACTTCTTCTAAGAGGCTGAAATATGCCTGGTTTTCCCTGGATTGTTCGGGAGAGTGTGCAAGCTGTTTTTGCTGTTTGTTTGTTTGCAGGGTGCTGCAGAGTTTAGAGGGTTTCAGCTTCCTTATCCACCACAATGGCGACTCTGAACTGCGTGTTGAATTCCACGGATAACTGCGATGAAACAAAAAAACGCCAGGAGGCCCTCGACTCCCGTCAGTACTCCAAGAACGGTGAGACGGTGTTTACTCAATGCTGTATGTACACGGCATGCATGCGTTGCATTTCTTCTTTGTTTACATACCCTGCATAACGATGCTTAAGTCACACCTCAAATAAGCAGCAAATCTTTTGTTTCTTCCTCTAGAGTGTTTCTGCGGTGTTGTTATTATGCATGTAGAGACAGTATGCATGCACCAGATGCGCTGATTATACACAAAGATATGAAAGGAGATGATGAGAAGATGTTGCTTTGTTTGTTTTATTTTTATGAGTTTGTTGTCGTTTGCTGCTCTGCTGCGACTGCTGCTGAGCATTTATTATAATTGTTTGTGTCTTTCGTGTACTAAACTCCTTTCTGCTGCAACTATTATTATATTGCCCCCTTTGCTGCTTCTGTTCTTTTCTCTTCGCAGGTATTCTGCGCTATGAATTTGTCTTTGGCCGGTGAGCGAAGCAAATGAGAATGCTGCTGCTGTTTTTGCTGTTTCTGCTGCTGCTGCTTCTCCTTCTGCTGCTGCTACTGCTGCTGCTACTGCTGCTGTTGGTTAGCAGCAATTATTTTAATTGCTGTTGGCTTTTTTTGCTGCTGCAGCGGATTCGTTTCCTCTGGAGGCGGCGACACCACAGCAGAAATCCTTGAGCATATTTCTCTGCCCAAGTCTGGCAAAGCCATCGGTTAGTCTCCACAGCAGCAGCAGCAACAGCAGCAGCAGCAGCAGCGAGGCAGAAGTGCTGCAGCAGTAGTTAAGAAAATGAGTAGGTGTAGCAGCGGCGACATAATGTTGAAGCAGCAATCGTAGCTGCTGCAGCGAGATCAAGACGGTGAATAGCAGCATTAGCAGCAGTATAATAAACTTTAATTGCTATTGCATGCGTTTGTTTGTGTGTGCTTTTTTGTAGACGTTGGTTGTGGAATAGGTGGCAGCAGCGCCGCACTAGCAGATAGATTTTCTGCAAATGTTTTGGGTGTAGATTTATCTGCAAATATGATTTCTATTGCAAAAGAAAGATACAGCGAAAGAAGCGATTTAAACTTTCTTGTTGCTGATGCCCTTAGCATTCCGATAGCCCCAGGCTCTCTAGATTTGGTATACAGCAGAGACACTGTGCTGCACTTCGATATCTACGAGAAGAAACTGCTCTTCTTAAAAGCATTTGAATGGCTTAAGCCAGGCGGCCAAGTAAGTACAAACTTAAAAATTTTTAATTAAAAAAAAATGAGGTGAAGTGCTGTTTGTTATTGCTGTATTTGTTATATATTACTGTAATTAATAATAATAATAATTACTATTATTATACCTCGCACGTCGATATTATTCTTGTTGGTGTTATTGTTGTATAGCACATTATATTATATAAATATATACATATATATTTATATATATATAATAATTGCTATCTTTGTCTACTTGGGGTGTCTGTACAGCTGGTGATAACCGACTACTGCTGCGGCCCGAAAGAGAAGTGGGATGAGGAGTTTAAAGCATATTTGCAAGACAGAAACTATAAACTTGTGCAGCTTGAGGTGTATAAACAACTGCTGCAGGAAGCAGGGTTTAACGTTATTAAGGCCGAAAACCACACGGAGAGGTGAATAATAATACATCTAATCATTTACAATAATAATAATAATAATAATAATAATAATAATAATAAAGTAAATGCGTAGAATAATTATTTGTTCTATTATTATTACTACAATGAAAGATATGCCGGCAGCATCGAGCAGCGCTTCTCTTTTTTATTATTTGCTTTTGTGCAGGTGGATGAAGGCGCTGGATGAGGAGAGTCGGCGTTTAGAAGAAAAGAAAGAAGATTTTATGCATCTGTTTACTTTGAAAGATTTTCAAGATCTAAGGGAAGGCTGGAGAAGCAAAAAAGAAAGAGTAGCAAAAGGCCTGCAGTTTTGGGGGTTTTTTATTGCTGTTAAACCGACAGAAAACCCAAGCAAGAAAGATAATTGAACTTCATAAGCTGTAAATAAACAAGGAAAAGTCTACTTCATTCAGGTGTACATACACCTCGTCCTATCGCCAATCGTCTTGCAAAATATTTTTATGCGACTTTTTACATAGGAAGACGGCGGTAATCGCTGAAGTCCTTTAAATAATGAGTTTTTTACTTTCTAAGAACTTTAAGCTCTTTATAGTATTTATTATTTTTATCTACTTTTTTTCTCACTTTAATTGGCGCGGGGCCGAATTTTCCCTAGAAAAGAAAAGAAAAAAGCATCGGCATATATATCACTAACACTAGTCGTGGCCAGACTCACCAACAATTAAATAGCTAGACAACTAGCTAGCTATGCAGGCTATCTATCTATCTATCTATCTATCTATTTAGCTATCTTTCTAGCTAGCTAGCTATCTATTAGTGATTTGAGCTGCTGTTTTCACACCTTCCAATCGACCAGAAACAAACAAACATAAAGAAAATAAAATAAATAAAGAAAGAAATTAATTTCAAATTCAATAAATGACAGAAGTGGGGTTCGAACCCACGCCCTTTCGGACTGCGGCCTTAACGCAGCGCCTTAGACCACTCGGCCATTCTGCCTACTGTCGCAAAAATTGTTATTTATTTGAATTGTTTAGTTGAATTGTTTATTTGAATAGACATTTATTTGAGTTGATATTGTTTGTTTATTTGGATTCTCGTCTACTTGAATTGTTATTTATTTGAGTTTTTATTTATTTGAGTTGTTTAGCTGAACTGTTCATTTATTTATTTGAATTGTTATTTATTTGAATTGTTTATTTATTTGAATTGCTTGTTGATTTCAGTTGTTTATTTGAATTGTTGCCTATTTGAATTGCTTAGATAGAATGCTTACTTGAATTATTTGAATATAGTCTGTATTTGAGTTGTTTATTTGAATTGCTTATTCATTTGATATGCTTATTTATTTGAGTTGTTTGTTTATTTGAATTGTTTAGTTAAATTGTTAATATAAAGTCTGTATTTGAATTGTTAATATGGAGTGTCTATTTGAATTGTTTATTTGAACTGTTTATATGAATTGTTTATTTGAATTGCTTATTTGAATTGTTCATTCATTTGAATTGTTTATTTAAGTTGTTTATATCGTGTTCATTTATTATTCGTTTGGACGACTTCAACAAATTAACAGTGACAAAAGCGTGCAGCACTCCATTTGTCTGTCTTTCACTCTAAAATCGATTGAATAATTATATCAAATGAATACAGTTGGGTAAAAAAGTTAAGTAATTTGTAAAAAATTATTAATTTCAATAAATGACAGAAGTGGGGTTCGAACCCACGCCCTTTCGGACTGCGGCCTTAACGCAGCGCCTTAGACCACTCGGCCATTCTGCCGAGAGCGGGGTGCGAAACCACTGCTAATAATAAGAGGGAGAATCTTATTTCTATCTTCCTGCAGTTATTATATCCTGTATGCATTTATTTATCAAATATATTTGTTTATTTTATATTCGATTTAAGAATAGAAGGAAAAATATTCAAGGAATTCGACTTTGTGTTCCTATGAAACGCAAATCGGACGGTGAATCAAGTTGGTGACGGTTTCAGTACGACGCTAGACATCACGAGAAGGGGAAATCGAGTTTATTTGAAATAAAGAAGAAATAAAATATTATCAATTTTACTGTTCTATATATTAAGACAAAAAAGAGGTTTTTCAATCACAATTCACAAACACCGGCAGGCAGATTCGCCGGCAGTCCACTGACGATGTTAATCGATAGCCTGGTGATGTTGTCGCTGTTCTCAATAAATGTTGGCGATCATAACAAAATTAGGTTTAATGAAAAGCTCTTTAAAAGAATTAAAGATTATCGGAAAAAATTACTGCGTATTATGTCCATTTCACTACAGCTTTAACAGACAAGATCTGCTGTGAGTAGCACGTGGAACTACTACCGGTGTGATGCGCGGAGCACCTCAGTTGTCTGCCTGCTTTCTTCGGCAAAATCGGCCGAATTATTACCTTATTTTGATGATATTGAGTAGCGAAATATTTAAAAGGTAATTAGTTTCAATAAATGACAGAAGTGGGGTTCGAACCCACGCCCTTGCGGACTGCGGCCTAAACGCAGCGCCTTAGACCACTCGGCCATTCTGCCTGCTGCGGACGGCAGAATTTAGCGCATCAAATAAATTCAAATACTTTGCCTTTTTGCTGCATCTCTTATTTGATTTGTGAGAATATTAGGGGGATTAAAGGGGGTAAAATGCGTGCAAACCCTTAAAGAATTGACGTCAGCTACTATTCAAAAGAAAAGAGAAATGCTAAAAAGGCTTTAAAAGGAAAAATACGCATTAAAGGGGGTACTGATTTTTTCAAGGTCTTCTCCTTTTGGCTGCAGACGTCAATATGAGAGATTTGAACGCTTTATATCGTTATTATATTGGCAAACCGCTTCATTCTTTCTTGCAGCTATTATAATAATTGTTATAATTATTATCTCCTCACTTAATTAAACAACAGTTGGCACTGTTGCAGCTGTAAGCGTGAAGATGCAGCAGATAGAGAAGGCAACACAAATAGGGATCAAAGGACAGACTGAAGCCGGAGGAGACTCTGCAAAATAATATACAACTAAAAGAGGTGTAGATACACTGCAGAACACAGACAAATGACAGAAGTGGGGTTCGAACCCACGCCCTTTCGGACTGCGGCCTTAACGCAGCGCCTTAGACCACTCGGCCATTCTGCCGTCTGTTCTCCAATTTATAAGGGCCGTTATCATTAGTTGTTCCAGTTAAGACAATCTTTAACTGCAAAGACGCGAAAGTGTGTGTATTCTTTGCTTGCATGCAAACTAATATTATTATTTTGTTTCAGTTTCTTCTGCCAGCTAATCAGTGGCTTCTCTTCCGTGCGTTTTGTGCATAATTATTTCTTTGTTTTGCCTGGTACGAGTTGAGAAAAATGAGGAGTTAAGTAATACGCAAGTGAAGAGAGGGAAAGTGCCGTTCTAGACACGCTAGGGAGAAACATCTTTAATAAACAAAGTCCACAAATGTGAATTAAAATGCCTTTTATTGCATTATAGTTAAACAAACACAAATATAACTATAGTCAATAAATGACAGAAGTGGGGTTCGAACCCACGCCCTTTCGGACTGCGGCCTTAACGCAGCGCCTTAGACCACTCGGCCATTCTGCCGTCCGCCGACCCGTGCGCAGTTTCGTTTTTGTATTTTTTGGTAAAATATTCAGAAAAATGAATTTTATCCGTTGTTTATATTAATTGAAGTTGTAATTAATAAAATGATGCCATAAACTCAATTAGTTTGATGGTTCTACTGTAGCGACGCACGCGGTGGTGGGGGGTTGTTCGGTAGTGCGAGGCATTCGCACGCTGATCGGTTGCCTTTAAAGGATCTAAACCTGACGGTTTTTTGCACATGTGTATTTAAATAGTTCGCAAATTACCGAAAATATGTTTTTTCCCCAAAGTTGTCGCAAATAATATTGTTTAGAATAGCTGCCAGTCCCTCCGAGGCACCGCCGCCGATTCGCTCGTGCCCTGCTGGAAGGTTCGGTGATAATACAGCTCTTCTCTGCGTTCACTTGCTTGTTCGTTTGTTTGTTTTGCTGTTAGATGGTTTTTACATTTTGTTTTTTTACTTAACTTTAAATTGATTAATGTTTCCCGCCGGCGGTGCAGCACATGTTCTGCAAGACCAGCTGAACGCAGCGAGGAGGATATTGTAACACATCAGGTTTCGCGTACATCTTTCCCCTAAGATCCAGAACAACCTCCATATATATGTATATATATGTATATATATATATATATACATATATTTGGTATTATCACTGTGTTACTAAACCCATTCTCATCATTACCCGTTGGGGGCCGTGCGTTACGCCGTTACTCTGCCTCAGTCTTCCCCAGCGGCCAGATATGAATAAATAATATATTTCTCCTTGCCTGATAAGCCAATGAATCGCATATTCACATATTTTTACCCAACTCTTTTGCTTGTTCTGCCTTTGTTTTGTTTTGGGCGAAGGCAGTATTATAACAAATACAACGACGCGCTGTACTGAACTGTAACAAGCACAGAACCGGCCCCTTACCGGATCTTCATTAGAAGTAATTTTAAATGCATGCTTGCTGCTCGTTTAAAGCGGGAGAAAGGCCTTACTGCTCGTGCGGGGTGTCTGTGCACCTGAACCAGCAGAGCGAGTAGTTGCTAGACTTTTGCTGCAAGCCAGATGCAATGAGAAACAGAGCCAGTCTAAAGAGACCCGCCAGCATGCCCACTATGCAGCTCAAGCCATAGTCTGCGTATTCATTGCACACGGCTTCATGTTTCTGTATAAAGAACTTACTGCATTTATATCGTTCATAAAGGGAGAAGTTCGTTCTCGTGCGTCCGTTTCAGTATGCATGAAGACCAACATGCATGCACGCATGCATACATGTATGAAGTTTGCATAAGACGAGCTTCTTTTGAAGGAACGGAGACGCAGCAGTTAGTTGCGCTCCTAACAAAAGTTGCAGGAAGCGCTCTGAATGAGTCGGCTATCCCGCCATGTGCCGAGCTCCCCAGTCTAGTGAATTGTTACCTTAAAGATGCATGCATTAAGACGCTGTGAGCGTCTATGCATAAATTTATTACCCCGTTGTGCATCGCTGTTGCTGCTGATTGATCATCTGCTTATATAGGGCAGCTGTCGCCTTGCCACGCGCATGCACGTAGCAGCTGCCTGTAGGACTTGCTGCTGCGCTCCGTGAAAGGACGAGGAAATAAACGTCTTCTGCAGCAGAAATGTCTGCGCATGACCTCTGGCTTGTATTTATGGAGCCGTATCAGCATTTTGCTCTCTGTTTCTCGCAAATTCGGTCGCCGTAGTTGGCGTTCCTTTACAACAGAGCGCTCAGAGGCAGAGATCTCTTTATCGCAGAATCAGTCAAACCACAGGATTATGTTTGCAAGCCATATTGCAATACATTTTCGCTCCAAATAATAAATCATTCAACAAATGGACGACGGACTGCCTACCGTCGCTTCCTGCGGAAACCCTTTTTTGAACGAGTGCAGCAGAATAAAGAACGCTTGCAAGAAACATAGTAGAGTACAGCGATTATGCACCTTTGGCAAAACCGTTACGTTGGGCCTTGCAGCTAGTATTACAAAAGTGGTGAGAAGCTGTTGGTTTCTGCACAGTTGAACTGGATGCGAGCTGCGCATACACCCCAAATCCTGGTCCGTTGTTGAAGGCAACAAAGAAGGCGCTACCTGGGAAAAGAAACTCGATGTTGCGTGCATACAAACTGAAGATTAAAACAAGTAGGAGCTAAGCGGGTTCGAACCTGAAAAGGTCTTCTTCACGCGCTAGAAGTGCAGCTTCCCATCCCCAGCGGACCGTCAGCAGTGCCGATGAACATGTTCAGCAAAGCATGCACGATCTGCCGGTTGCTGACGTCTTATGTTCTTGTGCTTGTGCTGATTATTACTTTCCCAGCAGCTGATGCTGCTGCAAGCTTTGAACAAGCAAAGGCATCCTCCTCTCAAGGCCCTGAATTTGAAGCGGCGCAGGCGCTGCAGCCTGGCCCCTCGTACTGGTGTAGCGCAGGGCATCACACGGATGATGAACAAGGTTTGTTAGTCTGTTGTCTTTAAACGCTTTTGCTTCGGTAATTAATTTGCACTTTGTCTCCACAGTCACATGGAGTGCGACTCTGGAAGCTCCGACGGTGTTGCGCGGATTGCGAGTTGCATGGGCGTACTCGCCAGAGGTCTGTTGCTCGTTTCTTTGTCGTTATCAATCTCGGTTCTTCTACTTAATGCTGCTGCTTGATGCCCGGTGCAGATGGTACAAATCTCCATATCTACTGACGGACGGAACTGGGTAGTTGCGAGTCCGTTCAAGAGAACCCCCAGCAATGACGGTATGCCCGATATCCTACTGCCGGTGGCAGCGCCAGCCCCATTCAAGCTGAACCCACTCCGCATGCGCTCACGCATGCATTTATGCATGCATGCATGAGTGCATTTGTGCATGCATTTATGCATGGATGTATGAATACATTTATGCACGCATCTATGCGTCCATTAAAGCATGCATTCACCCACACTGAATGCATGCATGGTATATATATATATACATACATATATATATATATATTGTATGTATTCATATACATGTATATTGTACATATATTTAATATATGATTGTTTCAGTTGCGTTTAATGAGGACATTTTCTTTGACCACCCGCACACCGTGAAGGGCGTGATGATCAGCATGCGCAAGGCTTTGCACGATTACTTCGGTATCAGCGAAGTAAAGCCAATAGAGACTGGGGAGCCTCAGCTGATGATTGTGGCGGGAATAACGAGCAAAGAGAGCGAAATGTGTCTTCAGGTTAGCCGCCTTTTAAGCCTTCGGTCTGCATACTGCACACCAAACAAACGAATTAAACAAACAAACAAACACTAAACAAACAAACAAACAAACAAACAAACAAACAGACAAGCAAACAACAACGCTTCAGGTAGAAGGAGGCGCCTTCAACAAAGAAGGAGCTCATGTGGTGCTGGATGCATGCAGCCGGGCTATTGCCGCTGGAGATGGAAGAGTACGTTGTTTTTGCTTTATTTGCATGCATGCATTTCTGTTTCTACAGCTAAAGAGTGCAGGAAATATGGGTGCAGAACATCAACAGGCAAATCTCATCTCTGAGGAGTGACCCCAAAAAATGCATTGTGCTGCGAGACGGAAAGACAGAAGGTTTGTTCTTGTTGTATACAATTTGCAAGGAGTTTCGTTTCTTCTCCCTCCCCCTGTATATGCATTTACAATTACAATACCTAAATTAAATCAAGGCAAACCACACTCTGCATCACAACACGAAACATCACCACCCCGCAACAACAAGAGAAAAAAAATAACAAACATCTCTCTTCTGCAGGGGGAGGCGCAGTGGTGCTGAGCAGCTGCGCAACAGCACTCGAAGAAGGCGATGGCCGTTCGTCTTGGAGCGCAGAGCCGAACTCCCAGCTGCGCCTCCAGGCTTCGGGTTTCTTCTGCATGACGCAAAAGGAAGTGCACGGCTCAGAGCCAGGCACAGGCGACATTGCTGCAGCTTTGGGCGCCTCTGCTAGCTGCGAAAGCACCGCGGGGGACGAACACAAGCCTGCGCTGGCGCTAGATAGAGACGTAAATACCTTCTGGGCATCAGGGGCCTTCCCGGACGCAGAGGAACACATTGTAGCATTTGATCTTGACTTGGGTGAGAGACATTCATCAGAAAAACTGAACGAAACGAAAAAAAAGAAGAAAAAACATTACATTTGTACATCGATGCTCAGGTAAAGCAGCCCGTTTAGCCGCCGTTCGTCTCGATTGGGAATATCCCCCAATGGCATACAAAGTGCAGCTCAGTGCCGACGGCAAGACGTATACGTGAGTGTTTCTTGCTTATGCAGAGTGCTGCCTGAACAGACTGATAGAGGGAGAGAGAAAGAGATGTTAATGAATGGTTGCTGCTTGCTTATCAGCGATGTCGCAGAGAACGCTGCCAATCCTTCTAACGTAACCCTGGATATGCTGCCTGGGGCTGCTGAGGCGCAGCACGTGCGCATTCTAATGACGCATCCGCATGCAACCAACGGGAAGATAGACGAGGAGTTTGTCTATGGAATACGCGAGATCTTCGCTCTGGCTAGCCGTATGGATACCGCAGTAGGGGATTGCAAGGAAGCTGCAAACTCACAAGATGCAAGAGATAAATACTTTCTTCTCCCCGTTCATGAATTCGAAGTAGAAATGGCTGAAAAAATAAACTCCATTGAAGAAGATGTCCTCCTCCGCTCCCGCACTCTCGGCAACAAAACCAAACAACTCATCGATAGCCGTCCATTAGCAGAAACCTGCGTATCAGAGAAAGAAGAGTTTAAGAAACGCGCAGAAGCACTAGAAGAAGAAACAACAGCTTTGCATGCCTCTCTTCTGTCTGATTCGCTGACCCCAAGAGGAGGGAGTAATCCTGTTCAATTGGGCTATCTTCCGGGTACATCAGAAGCAGGCACTATATAAAAGTTTTATTTGTATCATTCATTCTCTCTTTTTCTTTCTAGGAGATTCGCCAGCATACCCTGCAGAAGATTGTTTTGCTGCAAAGATTGCCAACAGCCCAGAGGCGCCTTCTGGGTTTTACTGGTGAGGAATAAAGAATAAAGAGTTTGAATTTGAGTGAAAGTTCAATTAAATCTTCTTTGTAGGATTTTACCGCGCTGTGCACCACACCCTCTGCGCGTCTTCTGCGATATGCAGAGCAGCACTTCGATGTATTTTATTAAGAACAGCAGAGGGATCGCGTTGTCTTCTTCTAAAGAAGGAGCAGAAAAAGAAATACTTAAAGCCAATAAACTGCACTCTGTTGGGTCTCTGCGCCTCCGCTGTGCAGAAAACGGCCTCGAGCCTCTCGTTCTAAACTCAGCAGAACAACTGCACGCCCTCAAAGTCGCCATCAAACAAATAGGCAAGTACTTACAACTTCTTTATTCCTGCTATTATTATTTGTGCTGCTGTGCTTGTTGTTGTTGTTGCCGTTGTTTTTGTTATTGTCTTGCTATTGTTTTGCTGTTGTTGTGGCTGCTGTTGTTGTCGTTGTTGTTATATTTGTATTTGTTGTGTTATTTCTGCATGCAAAATAAATAAAATGATTACTGCATCCTTACTGTCTTTGTTTTGTTTGCCTTTGTCTTTGTCTTTTTGTTTATCTTCAAATTATAATTACTTGTGCATGCAGGTTTTGTTGATGAGGAGAACGGTGTGCTGCCTTTAGCCCAGGACATGGGCTGCTTAGAGGGGCGCTGCAGCGGCAGTTTCAAAGTAACAGCGAAGCCAAATGCTGCAGCTCATGCACTCACTAACTTTAATTTTCTCTCCTCTGCATGCAGGACCTCTACTCAGGAACAACAGATTTAACGGCGCTGCTAATAGACGCCAACGCCCCACCCAACCCCAGCCCTACAAATGCTCCTACGGCAGGTCAGAGGCTTTCAATATAATATATATAATATGCATTATATTGTATGAATAATATATGTTTTTTATTGTTTGCTGTATGCGTGTAATGCCTGCATTATCTATACTTATATTATTCATATGCGCACTTTATTTACTTTGTTTATTACCCATGCGTGTATTATAGTGCATATATTGCATTAAATATAATATATCTAATATGCACGTTTATTACGATAGATTTTGCTGTACTTATAAAATATATTATACACAATTCAATAGTAACTTACGCAATACATATATATATGTACATATTTATTACATACGTGTATATTCAAATGTACACACATGTGCTATATATATACATATATTCCTATATATCTGTATCTATATATCTATATCTAAACTTCTATGCATGCATATAAAAATATGAATATTATGTATTAAATGCATCTAATACAGCGCGAACAGCACTTCATATTTCTTTTCACAGGCCTGAGGCTACCAGGAGGCGACCCGGCATATTTTAATATTGAGACGGCTGCAGTGGCTGCGGCAGTTTGTTCTACGAATGCAATCGAGGGGCAGACAGCGCTGTGAGGAGAGTGCAACAGCCAGCCATCCGGAGCGCAGCTGCTGCTGTTGCTGTTGCTGTTGCTGCTAGTGCTGCTGATTCTTGTTGTGTTTCTTTCTTTTCTTAAAGGTGCATGCAACGCGTTCTTCAGGCCCCATATTGATATCGGCTGCGAAGCCACTGCGGCGCATCACCCTGCTTTCTTCGGTATTACTAACGTAAGGAAAAATATGTTTTCTCTCTTGCTGCATTAGATGATTAAAGAAGCTGTTTCTCTTGCATGCATGCATGCGTCTGCATGCAGACGAACGTCGTAGTGCAGTGTCCTATGGGGTGCGCAGAAGCCGCTTCTTTGCCTGTCTTCGGAGGCAGCCACGGCAGCGGAGTGTACGCAGACCTCAGCTCAATATGTCGTGCTGCAGTGCATGCAGGCATATTAAGGGATGGAGGCGTTGTTAGTGTTTCTCTAGAAAACCCACTACCAGCTTACTACGGCTGCAGCAGCCACGGGGTCGCCTCCCTCTCCCTCAACACACCCAATACAATCGAGCTCCGTAATGAACTTCAACAACCACCAGCAGCAGCAGCAACAGCAGCAGCTGATGCAGAAGCAGCAGCAGCACTTCAAGCGCTGCCAAGCAAACGCCGAGGCCGCGTAACTCGCAGCATCCGCATCGTTCCAGTGGCGAAGGTAATAAGGGGGGTGTTTGCATGCGTTTGTTTAATATAGAAAGCCTCTCAATGATTAATTATACATATATATATTTCTACGGCTTTCTTTCTTCTAATTGCTGCTCGCTTCAGGACTGCCCCATTGAGAGCCTCTCTTCTATCGCCACTGCATTCATCGAGTTGGATGCTGCTGCAGCATCTGCTGCTGCAGAGACACCGCACGAGAAGAAGGAAGATGTCCTTATTAGTCCGATGATGGCGAACATTATAAACGACGTGCTGCAGACAATGGGTTAGCTGCAGGCTGCTGATGAGGCTCTGCTGCATGCACTTGCATGTGCATGCAGAGTTATGCGTGGACAGTCACGCTCTGCTTCTGTCTGCACTTGCATGCAGATTCTTTGCGTGTGTACGCTCTTCTATCTCTGTCTCTCTCTTTTTGTCTATCTAGGTGTATAGGTCTCTGTCTGTGTCTGTCTCTTTCTTTCTGTCTCTATCTCTTCTTGTTTCTGTCTCTCTGTGTCTCTGCCGCTCTCTGCCTCTGCCGCTGTCGCTGTCACTGACTCTGTCGCTCTCCCTTTGTGCGTGTGTGTACGCATTCATTTGCACATTTGTCGATGTCTCTGTCTATATATATATATATATATATATATATATCTACATATCTATATATTTATCCCTGTGCATATATATATATGAATAACTATCAAAATATATTGTTTTTCTTGTTATTCCTCGGTAGATGATGATAATTGTGTGCAGACGAAGTGCACGGGTTGGACGCCACTTCAGTCTTTGCTGCTCAAAGTGGAGGGGCCTCAGCTGCTTCTTCTTTATCTTCTTCAATAAAGCCTGCAGATTTATTGCAGAGGAGTTTGTTTAAAATGACTAGCAGCTTGTAAGTAAATATTTGTATTTCCTGTGGAGTTATTTCTTGTGTTCCCTGCCGCGTTTATATCCTCGTACATATTGTTCTTTTGCTGCTTCTGTATCTGCATGCAACGTTATTCAGGTTGCTGCATGTCGAAGGTGCTGCTGCTGCTCTTTTAAACAGCTCAGGTGCAGTTGGAGAGCAGCTGGAAGTGTTGCTGCAGCAGCTGCAGCAAGCAGAGCAGCAGCGGGTTCAACAGGCTGGCTTTGAATCATTTGTATTAGAGTATACTAATACTTCTTTTCCTGAAGTCTTCGATGTTATAGACAACATACGCACCTCTAGAGGCTCCCACAGCCACAGCAGCTGGGGCTTCGCAGAAATTAATGCTGGCGGAGCTGAACACAAACCTGCAGTTGCACAAACAGCAGCAATTAAAGGCAACGGGCCGACAGAAGGAAGCTTTGCTCAGCTAAAAAGAAAAAACTTCTTTGACGGTGTTCTTCATATTAACTTCCTCGTAAGCTCATCGAATATATGCACTCAACGTACACCCCAGTAATACAAACAATCCCCTTTAAACATAATCACAAAATATAATATTATTATTGCTGTTATTAATGCTGAGATGACTATTGTTATTGTTATTATTATTATTATTGTTTTTATTTATTGCTATTATTATTGTTTTTATTATTATTATTATTATTGTTATTATTGTAATTGCTTTATTATTATTGCTTGTATTATAATTATAATAATACTTATTACTATAATTATTATGATTAATATTAATATTATTATTATTGTTTATATTTATAGCTGCGTTTATTGTTATAATTATTTTATTTTATATTGCCTACAACTTGCAGCCGTTCGATGCGGGGAGTATAGGCATTGCCTTTCGCATGCGCGACGTGGAAAATATGTTTCTTCTGTCTGCAACAGCGAAGAGAAAAAGAGAAAAAGAAGAAGTTTTACTGCAATTGTTTAGAGTAGAAGAAGGAAGGCCCTTTCTGCTAATGCAGAAACAAAATAATAATGCATTTAAAGAAGCAAAATCAACACAGTGGAGAGTAGAGATGCATCATGCAAGAATTAAAGTCGCTATAAAAAACCTTACAACGCATATCTGGGAGCCAGTCATAGAGTAAGCTAATCTTTATGCATGCATATTCAATGCATGCACAGATGTATTCATGTATCTCTGCATGCATTCAATATGCATAAATATATATATTTCTGCATGCATCTCTGCATACATGCATCTCTGTATGAATTTAATGTGCATAAATATATGCATATATATACATATATATGCATATATATTTCTGCATGCACGCTCGCACCTTTACTATACACGCATGTCTGCATCTATGTATATCTCTTGTGCATACATATCTCCTATGCATGCATCTCTCCTATGCATGCATGTATCTATATAAATCTTATATATATATAATATATATATA